AACATATGAATGGGTTCGCCTCCGCTTCCTGTCGTGGAAATGCCTGTTGGAGCGATATCGGGTCTTCCTCGGCATTGATTATCAAAGTCGGTACCCTTACGTTCAGCAATTTATCCACCGAGCTGGAAGCACGGTAGTACTCGCCTCCTGTTCTGAACCCGAACGCTGGCGCTGTGCACGCAGAGTCATAGTCGTACAGATAGGTTGCGTTTCGGACGCCTTCGATATTAACGGCCGGGTTGGTCGACATCATGTCGTAGTTTCGCTCGAAGAGCCTTTTCAAGTTCCCTGCCATGAATTTGGAGTACTGGCGTCCGGTGAAGGACATGAACATGATCTTGGCGCAAGCGTCCATGTTGTGCGGAGAGGAGATGAGAACGGCAGCGTGGACTGGGCAGGATGCACCTTCTTCACCCAGATAGTCTGTACATTTAATCGGTTAGCGAGGTATATTTTAAACAATGAAAAGTTTACGTACTGGCGAGGATGTTGGCGCCGAGAGAGAACCCCAGAGCCATTATTGGTCTCTTTGGGAATTTCTGGCGTATCAATTTGATGACCTGACGAACATCGTGCGTGAACATTGCATTAAACATCTTGTTGCCTGATACGAATCCGAATTAGCTCTTGATTCCCCCTCTCTGATTCTCAACTGATAAACATACTCGTAAGCTTTGTCCAGGCGCAACCTCTCGCATTAACGACTAGACCGTCGTACCCGAGTCCGCCATCTTTCTTCGCCCTGACTAGTGGCTCCAAAGACAGACGAACATACGTCTCATGCGATCCGCCGCTAAGCCCGTGAAGTGCAACTACGATAGGATTGGTTTCGTCACTTGAACCCCATGCCTCAAATTCCTCATTTGTGAAGAAAGACGTCCGAGGCGGGAAGTACTCCGGGTCGCTTTCTAAGAGTACTTTTTTTGACGGTGTAGCGACGACTTCCGGAGTCGAGGGCGGGGGCACCACTACGTCGATACTAAACGTGCCGGTATCGCTGCCATCCGGCGAATCCGCAGATAGGACATGACGCTTATAGTGAATTTGAACATTGTCGGATGCAAAAAGAATGGCACAGGTTTGTAAGTGGCCGCTACGTAGGAGGGGGTTTGGGTAGTACGGTGGGATGGTGGATTTGGCGACGGAGACCAGGGATTCGGTGTCGCCGGACTCGCTTCCAGCGGTGCCAGCGGGCCTGAGCTGGACCGGTGACGGGTGGTGATAGTACGTTTGGGTCGCTGGTCCGAACAACATGGTCGATGGGTTACAAAACGAATGAATTGGGGTGGTATATTTAGGTCACAGAGTTAGCTGGGCTTACGGTTTTATATCAGCTATCAAGCTGGTTGCTTCGGGCACGATAAAGTCGCATTTTTGTGCAAGGTGTGGCTTTCAGCTGTTCGTTCGGGTGCATTCTCGCCTACAAACTGAACGCGAGCAAATTATCGAACCGAGGCACATTTTCGACTCCCAACGTCATAACGTTAACCACGGAGGGCAGGAGATTAGAATCGCCGGGTACCAACCTGGTGCCGGGAATCGGTAGGCACAGATCCGACACGCTTGCCCGCTCAGAGCCTTTTTCAAAGTGTGCAATGAGAGTTGAATTGTTGATATAGCTATAGCTATCACCCTGGACATCGGTGCGTAACACGGGAGATTGTGCCTTTAAACGAGCCAAAGCATACAGATATGAGGTGAAGGCTGTATAGTGCAATGACTAGCATGCTCCACACCTACATTTTGAGGAGAGATGTCGGTTCAAATCCGACTACGGCCCAGTTCCTTTCTTTTAAGCTTCAAAGGTTTCTTTTTGGCCTGAATTGGTTTGAAATAAATCAGCTGTAGCTCGAGCTGAGAGCGAGCTGCATGTATGTCATGTACGTGCGGACTAGCGAGGTAGTCTTTGCATCTGGAACCTGCAGCTGCCGAAGTAACGTGAGTGTGGTAATGCGATTTAGCCTCGAGCTGGCAGATTGTTACCAGAGCAGCATCGGTTCGACCATTGCATGTCGGGACTGTTTCAAGCTAAGCTTATCTCGATTTCTAACTCCCCGTCGTCAATAGAAGCAATCTAATAAATAAGAAAGCAAGTACTAAGTAACGATCGGATTAATAATGAGATATGCGAATGGCGGAATGTGAATGAATCTTCGACTCGGATGGGCCCTTTTTTGATGGTCGAAAGGGACGGGCCTTTGTGTTGCGGAATGACGTTGGTTGGAATGGCAAGTCCTTCCCGCAGCAGCCAACGTCGTCCAAATCCTTCCCCTTGGCCACCACCGCTACCACCACCACCACTAATACTACTACCGCTCATCTGCCACAGATCCCTGGTCCCTTTTTTCCTTTCTCTCTTCTTCTCTTCTTCTTCACAATGACGAGAAAGTTATATTTTTCGAATTCTACCCTTCGACGTATTCGTGTCTGTTGTCGCGATGACGCCTGCTACCACTCTCACACCGGGCCAGGCCCACGCCCTCCTTGATATCCTCACCCACCGCGAAACCTACGACGCTGAAATCGAACTCTTCAAGACACCGGGCATCATAAACAGCTACGGTCCTCCTTTCCAACCAGACCCCGCCATATCCAAATCTCCGATCCTACAAACTCTCTTCTCAACCTTCGTCGTCCCCATCCCCGGTCTTCGCGATGTCGACGATGAGTTCTGGACAAAGCGAGCTCTCCCTATCATTGACGATCTCGCAAAGGCGAACCTCTCAGAGTCATACGACAAGGGCGGCATGGGAATCCGCAAGATGATGGCAACGCTGATATCTGCTTTGATCGAGTACCCCGCCAGAGGCGTACTCGGCGGCATGCCTGGACGAGAAATCAAGGATGACCCGAACGAGATTTACGATCTGAAGAATCAGGAAGATCTAGGTCGTGCGTGGAAAACTTTCCAGAGACAAATTGTCTATGGTGATTTGCTAGATGAATTGTTCGACAAGGCTGCTGAGAGCGATGAGTTGAACGACCACAGGGACATGGTTATCGCTGCTCACCAGCATATCATTGTAAAGTATGTCCTTTGTGATCTGTTCTATTTTAGGTTGGTCAAGATGCTAATGGTTGTATAGTTTGGGGTCGCTGGCGCATTACGCATTAATCGCATCACCAAAAGGGCAAACACTTCTCTCATTAGTCGAGAGGACACATAAGCTCATACCGTATCGAATCATGCGGCAAACATTAAAGATTGGGAATGCAGCAACAATGATTAGCGGGATGACTCGCCTCGTATTGACCAAGATGAGTCTGGGAGCAGTTACCAATTGGATTGGGTGGAGTAGCGGTGCAGATGAGGGCATGAATTTACTTCAAACGTATGTTAATACATCCATGTCTCGATATTTCTTGTTAATACTAACGATATATAGCATCTTCTATACCGTTTTAAGTTGGGATATCAAAGAACTCCAGTCACGATTATCCAAGATCGAGAAATTGAAAGATGGCCCGTCAAAAGACCAGTTGTCTGCCGTTCAAGCATATACCAAACTAGACCGCGAGGAGCAAGAAAAGTATCGCGAGGTCAGCAAGACGTCTTCTACTTCGATCATTCACGCAATCCTCTCTGTTTCTCCGACCTCGCCCTCTACTGATGTCACCTCGGAACACCATCGAATCCTTTCAGATTATCTCTACGTCAACCTTTCCATCCATGACCGGGAGCAATTGATCCTGGTGCTATGTAAATCCAACCCGGATAATCTCACCGCCACTATCCGCGAAATTGTGACGATTTACGAGCCAATTTTAAGAAATTTGCACAATGCCGTAGATCTTAGCGGGACGGTTTCAGATTTTGAAAAATTCTTGAATGATCTCATCAAAACTGGCAAAGTCACGCCCGAACATAAACCAGAAGTTGCCGACTTTGTCGAGTTATTCGAACGCCACCAGAAGAGCGTTCATAGCTTTCTCCACCAGTTCTGTAAGAACGGAGACCAGGCTATGACTTCATGGCGAGATTACGGGAAAAACGTCATCAAAGAATTCCAACGGAAGGAAGAAGATTGCGGGGATGGGGCGGGGAGGTTCACACCCGTCCTCAACAAACTTGTTAACGAGCTGGATTTGAAAGATAGGGAGGTCGTGGTGCAGCAGATGGAAGCGTATGAAGAGTTTCTACAGAAGTTGAGTCAAAAGACGAACCGGCGAATGGCATCCATCGTTTCCTTGGATGGTGTGCAGCGTGAGCCGTTGAAGAAGGGACCTGGAAACTTTTTGTATAAATGGCAGGATTTGTTGGATTCGACGTTGATTACGCCTAGCGAACCTACTGCCGGAAAAGTACGGAGTGGGAGGGATAGCGATGTTAGAGCGGCGAGTAGTGTTGATATGAGTGGAGACAAGAAGGGGGTTGTTGCGAACGGCGTGAATGGTACTACCGCGAATGGTACTGCCAATGGAGTTTCCGAAACGAATGGGGTATCTGATGAGGTCAATGAAGTAGTGAATGGAGTTTCTGGTGAAACGACAAATGGAGTGATAACGAACGGTGTGACAAATGGAGTAGCGAGTGTGGATAAAGAGACGACTGAAGCTCCAGATTTGAGTAAGACAGTGGAGCTATTGTTGCCAAGATTTAAAGAGGTGCTTGCCGCACGGGAGTATTAGCTCGTACATGGCTGTTCTTTGTTTATTAGCGGATATATACACGTCCTTGGGAGCATATGCCATAGATTTGGGTTTCAGTCTCAAGACTACCATTTTAATGCACTGTTGTTGATTTTGCGACTTTGTCATATTAGCTCTCGTTTGCCAGCGCCTTTGAAATTTAACCTTATACTGGACCAAAAGATATCTATTAAAAAGCAAGATCTTTTCTCCTTCCCTCCACGCATCACACAGCTCCCGATTTCTGGATCGACTGGCCGTCACCCGTGTTGAGCGTTGTATTCTCCCATTCGAGATGTCATGATGACAAAAAAGGCATTTTTACCGAACCAGCTTGAAAAAAGTTGCAAAAAGAGAATTTAATATGAGGCTGCCCTCAAGAGGATTCGAACCTCTGACCTCGACATTGCTGGTAGTGATACTAGTGTCGCGCTCTACCAACTGAGCTATAAGGGCTCGATGCAGGTCTAGCACTGATAGCTGAATATAATCCATACTGCATCTCAGGAATACCAAGGTTGGATATCAAATCAAAGTGTATAATGAACCACTTTCTCACACTCTCTACAAGCCGGCAGGTTTTAGTGCCGTAGGCGCAGAATGAGTTGTTAATTACCTATTGGCTTATAAATCTACGATAGCAGTGGCTCTACCCATGCGATGTTTATTTGGTTGCCGTGGGGGTTGTTGGATTGTCTGAGGGCAACCGGGGCAATCAACGCAGATTCAACGTCCAGCGTGTCAACATGATGCGGCGATATCAGAGTGACTAAGCATGGGCATCTGTCGCCCCGACATCGCATCTCCATCTCCTCCTCCTCTTCGCACCCATTCCTCCATCCATCTTCCCTCCCATTATTACCCTTATTGTTGAAACACATATTACTGGAACTAAAATCTCTGTTTAATCTCATAATACCATCGATACATCCCCAATTCCCACCAACCAGTTGAATCTCTCCCGCTCACACGATCCCATCTCCCCGCCACCACCATGGCCGCTGTTCCCATCGAAAATTGGTTCTACGATGTACCCGTCTGCACCCGTTGGTGGACCTCTGCAGCTGTCCTCACCGCTGTCGCCTGCCAATGCCATCTCGTATCACCCTTCCAACTCTTCTTCTCAACACAAGCCGTCTTTTCGAAACGGCAGTATTGGCGGCTCATCACCACATTCCTCTACTTCGGACCGCTAAGCATAGACTTTCTATTCCACATGTTTTTCATGGCGCGGTATAGCCGCATGTTGGAGGAGAGTTATTATCGTGGCAAAACAGCGGATTTCGCTTGGTTGATATTATACAGTGCTACCTGTCTGCTCGTACGTCCTCCATCCCTACACTCTCATCCCATTGTACACTTATTTGGTGATTCTTTTGCTAATTTGTATTATGGATGGGATAGTTTTGTTCTGCGACGTTCGTTGCCATGCCCTTCCTCGGCTCGCCGCTTGCGTTCTCTTTAGTGTACATCTGGTCGAGAAGGAATCCAAGCGTCAGATTATCCTTCCTTGGGCTGTTCGTCTTCAGCGCTCCGTATCTTCCGTGGGTGCTGTTAGGTTTCAGTTTGTTGCTTAACGGTAACATGCCAAAGGATGACTTGTTGGGAATTGTCGTCGGACACAGTATGTTATCATTTCACTCTATACGGATGTTCTTATAAATGCTGGTGCTAATTTGATTATAGTTTATTTCTTCTTTATGGACATCTACCCCACTGTCCGAAACGGATCGAGACCGTTGGACCCACCTGAGTTTTGGAGACGATTGTTCGAACCACGCACGGAGAACGCTAGACCGCAGATACAGCCAACTCAATAATTTATTAGAAAGGTGTGCGGTGAATGGTGTTTTATGTTCTAGAGGAAGATCGGTTTTACCTTGAGGAAGATGTTCTTATCATTAGAACATGTATAAGCCAGTTCTATGAGGTTTGTGTTTTTATGTTTAAAGCGGCATATTTAGGGTGTTTTAGGTCTCTTGTTCGTTCTCTCCCTTCCTTCCTTCTCCCCTCCATCCCATTCTTTGTATTATTATTTTTATTTTGGAGCCGGATACGATACATAGTAGGTTTGAAATGACAATTTTCTTTCAAGGAAGTCTATTTGGTGTCCACCCAATTGATCTTACGGTGAGGTTTGTGGGGTCGAGATATTTGCAATACGCAACCATATCTTCACACGAGGGGTTTCTTAGACACAAACCAGCTCATATATTATAGCAACAACTTATATATATACAAAAAAAAGTACCATGAGATATTCAAAGCTTTAAACTTCGTCGGAATGATAAAGGTATACACGAGTTATCAACTATTCGATATACCTATCATTCATCACAATGCCAACCACCTACACTAGCACCACCTTCCTTCTCCTCCTCTTCTTCTCAATCCACGCATTAGCATACTACACCACTATGATCCGCGCAATCCACCCAAACTGGTTCAAATCTTTCAACTACCTCCTCTCCAGCGTGCCCCTCAACCGACGTACCCCCTCCCAATGCTACGAAACTATTGGCCGCAGTGCGTGGGGTGATATCGATTGGTTTGCGGTATACAACAACCCCGGTGAGGTTCCGATTGATGGTCTTGCGTTTTATAATAACAGATTCTGCGGGTTAAAAAAGACTACCAACCAGCCACCACCTAAGAAACCCGTTGCTGTTGTTGTTTTTAGTAATAACAACCGTAATAACAACCGTAACCACAATCACAATCACATCCATGGAGCCAGAGAAGGTGAGGGTAAATATGGTATCAGATTGATTAATTTTAAACGGTTAGGAATTCAATACAACCGCGGTTCATACATTTCCTTCAACTTGACCGAAGAACTTGCAAAACGAGATACCCACACCGGATTATTCGGGGAGATACCCGCCAATGTCACAATTGATAACGGAGTATACGTCTGGGAAGGCGAGCCTGAGAATTTAAAACGTCCAGGGAGATATATAGCGTACCTACCCGATAGCGTGGACATCATCCCGGAACCGACTGATATCCTAGAGAGGGTTGATTTGGAGGGTGATAGGATCGGGTATACTTACTTGCGAGACCTGGTCGAGCGGTTTTTAATAGGTCCTGAGAAGGCGGGGCAGATCGTGGATACGGTTACACCGTGGATTGAAGATCGGTTGGGTAGTGTTGGTAATGGGGTTGTTAGGAAGCCGCCTGCCTTGAGGGGCCCGTTGTATGAGCGGGGAGCTGGAGAGGGGAAGGGGTATGCTACTAATGAGAACGCGTGGGAGGTTGAGAAGTGGCCGGGGGAGTCTGGGAGGAAGGGAAAGAATGGGAGGTCGGTGATGTATCCTGTTGTCAAGAGTGGGGGCGTTCCCGGGGTTGTGTATTTTGAACGGGAGGGGTATGAAGAGGCGCCGTTGAGGAAGTTAAGGAAGGCTAAGCAGCCAGATGAAGATGAGGAGCCGGATGATGTAAGTCTCAATTCGGGCGTGGCTAGGAAGTTTCAAGACTTCTTGGCTGCAGAAGAAGAAGAAGAGTCGCCTGCTATAGAAATTGAATATATGAAGGCGGATCCTGAACTGTTGGCGAAGATTGCGAGGGAGACGGATCATGATGTTGACACGCAAGGATTTCTCAGGCCGAAAAAGCGCGGGAGGGGTCGACCTGCCGCTCGCGAGAAGGTGGATATACCTGAGATCCTTCTCAGTCCGCTTGTGACTTTACCTATCATCGAAGAGGATCAAACTGAAGATGCCGGCGTTGATGTCTCTGTTTCGATTGAAGTTGGGTCGGATGATATATATCTCGAAGATGAAGTGCCAAAGGCCGTCGATACACAAGAAGTATATACACATGATCTCACCAGCGACGGTCCAACATCTACCCACCGGAATCCGCCAGAGAGGCTTGATGACGAGGAAGGGGAGCATTTAAAGGTACCAAACTTGAATCCCAGCCCAGACCGCCCCGCTATGGCCAATGCGTTATCAGGGAATATGCAAGATCCATATACATCTCAAGACTGGATAAGGAATCTTGACAATGGCTTTGATCAGTACGGTTCCCTAGCGTCGCTAGAGGAAAACTTCCCGAGGTCCAGGACGTCTACTGGTCGAGGAATCGGCGTCTCGACTTCGATGGAGGATAGTTTCGAGGATCCTGTTTTTATGACATCTACGGGACGGCGACCTCGAAATTTGAACCAAGACGTACTAGATGTATTGTTAGAGGAACCGGATGAATACTAGTTACCCAAAAATATAGTCTAGAGAGATATACCAGAAAGGCTTTATACATAACTAAATGAACTGAATCACTATGTACAACCATTAAATGCATAATCCCATACCCGCTAAGCTAATGAACCATATATTACATTTCGTACCAAAAGTAGATCAAAAATGAGGAAAGAAACCAGTCCAGTTAGGTTCATCATAAACCCCACTCGGCACCGACCTTAAACTCACAAACGCCTCGACGACAAGATACACTCTTGCAAACCCAAACGCCATCAAAATCAACCCACCACCGATGCTAGTCACCACCTGCCAAAAATACGCCGTATTCGTCTGTGCCATATGTGACCGTTTGTAAAACTCCCACGAATCAGTGGTCATGGTGTTAATCCACCTATCGAACGCAGCAGACTTTTGCTTTGCCAAAAAAAGGACGAAGGAGAGCACGCCCGTGCAGGATATGAATATCGCACTAACGAGCCATGCTGTTCTTTCGAATTTCGTGGGGAAATGCTCTCGCCAAGCGGCGATATGGAGGCTTCCGTATGCGAATGCTGTGAATGCTAGTATAGACTTGAGGTGATCGCGGTGCACATTCACGTGGCCGAGGTATGATAGACCGGCAAAGTTTTTGATGTAGTGGTCGAGGTAGTATGTTTCTCCGAGGAAAGTGCCTAAAGAGGATGTGGTGAAGTAGTAGTTGATATAGGATTCCCGCTCCTGACAGGCTTCCCAGAGCTGGTGAGCCGCGGGACCGGCGAGTCTCCAGCGTTCAATTTCGAAAGATGTGACGCGGGGTTGCCGTTTGTGGTCGATATCGCTCTGGGCCCAACGGCAGTATTTGGGACCGTGTTGGAGGATGGTGTCTGGAGTTTGTAGTTCCATGAAGCAACGGTGTTCTGGAGAGACGTCGCAGTGTTTTTCTTCCATTTTGTAGTCGAAGCGTGTATCTGAACGGGCGATACCTCGTTTCGCAGGTCCCATGCCAATAACTATTATAACTATGTTAGAAGATATCTTGAGAAGGAGTGAAGTGTGACTTACAAGCCTTCGGATCAACCCTCGCCTTCGATCCTACCGAAAAGTTGGTGTACTGGGGTAGGTCAGATGAGTAAACAGAACCCTTCCGATCCACTGTCTGCAGCCTGGCAGGATCTTTATACGCCATGCATCGAATCTCGGATACTCCCATGTTCTCACTAATCGGCGAGCACATATACATCAAAGAGATGATGGGTTCCATCGCTTGCTCGT